GCAGGCCGCCGCCGGCGTCAAGGAGGAGGAGACCAAGAAGTCCAAGTCCGTCGAGAAGAAGCAGGCTGAGCGCTACGCCGCCGAGGGCAAGGTCGAGAACGCTCTCGAGAAGCAGTTCGAGGCCGGTCGCCTGTACGCCGTTGTCTCCTCCCGCCCCGGCCAGTCCGGTCGCTGCGACGGATACATCCTCGAGGGTGAGGAGCTCGCCTTCTACCAGCGCAAGCTCCACAAGTAAACGTATCGCCTTGTTCACCAGGGTGGTCCCGTTTGCTGCGTGAAAGCCATGTCTTAACGATACAGCGTCGCGCGTTATGGGCGTGTGGATGTGGATGGGGGAAAAACTAGATAACTGTGACTTTCTCACGGATCACGTTTACGGGAATGAAAAAAAACATTTTATCGGGCTCTTAGGTTGTTCTTGGTGTTGAACAGGTTTTGCTTTTCTCGTCTGGCGAGCCATCACGGGGCGTGATTAGCTCACAATGAAATGTAGGCTCGGAAAAGCAACCGAGTCCACAGACGGATATGGGTTATTAGGAAGACTCAAAAAGACTATACCACCAAGTTTTTGCCTGCCGTAATCACTGTTCACCTGCTGTCATCCACTCTCCTGATTGCCTTGTGATGCTTTCTGTATTTGATGTTGTAGCTGTCAAGTCTAACTACGGAAGCTTGAGTATGCGCCTTGAAACCCTTCTCCGTGCTCACCTAGCAGCTGGTCTCTGATACGAGTCTTGTATAAAAGACCAGATGGCTATTAGCCAGTTTCTCCTGGCCCGTCTAGGCCGGCATGCTTCTGCTCACTCCTACCGCGTGTTGGTTCTCGGGATATCAGAAACCGGTGACCGCCTCAAGGGTCTGTCTGATTTATCGATGCCCGTACTTCTACCAGCTGGCTGCCCAGATGTGCATTAGGCCAGCAAACACACGCAAACCTCCATACTCAATGGGAAGCTATGATTACTTTGTACATTAAGATATTCAGAGAATTCTGCTTCTGGGTTACCAGGGTCGTATTCCTCAGACTGCCTCAAGCAAACTGTCGCTTGAGGTCTGTCCACTTGCGGTTGAGCGTCTCGTGCTGAGAATTGATCTGTAATAGAGTTAGTCAAACTATCCTTCATGGATTTCATTGCGGCGTGCTCTTACCTCGGCATACTGCATCTTGGTCTGCACAAGCTCCTCCTCCAGCTCCGCCATCTCCTTCTCCAACTTCTCGTTCTCCTCGTGAACCTTGAGGTTACGCTTCATGAGATCCTCTCGCTCAGCCTTCCATGCGTTCTCGAGTTCTTCAGGCTGCTTTTCGATGACGTTTCGCAGCTCACGGACCTGGCCCTTGAGACTCTCATTTTCGTCCTTGAGTTCTTCGTTCTCGACCTTGGTGTGGACCAGCTCAGTTGCGAGGGCAGCCTGTTCACTATCGTATGCTTCGACACGCTCCTCGAGCTTACGGACCTTGACGGCAAAGTTAATATTGGCAGTCCGCAGCCCTTCCAACTCGGCCTCACGGTCCTTCTCAGCCTTTGTCTTCTCCTCCCATTCGGTTGTGTAGGTCTTGAGAATCTCGGGAGTGATATTGAGATCACACGCATCTCTGACAAGTTGATCGGCGCGGTAGACTTCCTTATCCATGCTGGCGCTTGAGCTTCCAAAGAAGCCGTTCTCCAAAATGCTGCCTGCGCTCGGTGCGGTATCGATGTAGGCGTCAAAAACCTTGTCTTTGAGGAAGACCGTCAGTTGCTGCATGTCCGAGATGGTAAGCAAGTTGGAGGCGTTCTTTTGCATCAAGACGATACCGAATCGCAGAATAGCTGAGAGACCTTCCGACAGGATCAGGTCGTAAATGCGCAGTACCAGTTGCAGGGGAAATCGATACGCGAATAGCGTCAAAAACCACTGTGTGGCGTAGAGGTGTGGTGAGATGCTGCGGCGGCGCAAATGACAGTACAAAGCTGGCTCGTAATCCTCAAGCAAGCGCTCAAAGATGTACAAGTTCTTGTGAAGGCCGGGCATGTCCTGAATAAATAGGTCGCGCAGGTGGTAGTGGTTCATCAACCGGACCAGCAGGCAGAAGGCTTCTTCCTCTGTCATGTTGAATAAAAGGGGCATAATCAAGAAGTTCATGCCTTGAGCATAGCCAACACCCTCGTCGAACAAGGCATACGCCTTGCACACGCCGAAGAGGCCCTCCTGAAGCCCGGCAGCGGCGGCGTACTTGGAGAAGCTGGTTCTCGCACCCATGTCTCGTCGAATCGTCTTCTCCAACTTCTGGAGCATGGCAGTATCCTCCTTTTGCTTCTTTTGTCTCGCCACCGTAGCCGCCTGCTGCGCCTTTAGGACCGTCTCCGCACTCTTCTCATGAGGGGAAGGCATGCCATTCGCGGCTGAGTGTTCCGAGTGGACAGATGATGAGGAGGAATTGACAATGTCGTTCTGAATGCTGAGAGTACCGTTGCTGCTCGAGCTGACAGTGCTATGACTGTTCCTGTTGATTTCCTTGTCGGTTCCCCTGGCCACTAGCTCTCTGTACATGATCTCGAGCTCTTCATTGTTACTCTGGGCCAATACTTGCCAGACTACTCCACGGATAGCGTTAGGAATACCACTGGCAATGGCTTTGTTCAGTTCCTCGGCGCTAGTCCGCTGAACAACCGCCGGGCCTTCGTAAACAACGGACTGCCAGAGATCCCAGTCCACCTGGGAGTCTGACATGTCCGAGGGTCCAGCCGATACACCAGATACTGTTCCTGGTGCCAGCGCCGGGTTCGGGGTCGTTGGGAGAGGCGATTTGGGGGCTTGATCAGCTCCAAGCTCCTTGTCGGTTCCATTCTGGGCGGGAGGTGTGATTAAACCCAATCCCTTGGGGGGCGGCACAGGTTTATCGTCGTCGGATGGCAGCGTGACGCCGGCCTCTTCCCGTAGTCGAACCATCTTGAAGCGGTCCTTCAGACTGTGTCGCGGGATGCCGCCCTCTTTTCCTTCGTCTAACCTGCCCAGCGACATCTCTGGGTTACTTGTTAACGTTGCGATGGAGCTGGCTGTGTTTCGACGAGGAGAGGCCTGTGGAGGTGGTGAGGTCTCCTTCTCCTTGCTTGTGCTGTTTCGAGACAGCCAGGAGAAGGGGCTGGTGAGCTTCCTGGTCGGGGGACCAGGGGGTGGTGGTAGGGCGGCAGAGGAAGCGGCTTGCGGTGGGGGTGCAGCTGGGACTACGGGAGATTTGGCAGGCGATGGCTCGGCTGGCGGCGACCATGGCATGGATGGGAGGGCGCCGGTGATGCTGCTAATGGATATTTTCTTGGGCGGCAGTGGCTTCTCTTCGACCGGGCTAATGGCTTTCGTTTCTTGGGTTTAAAATTAGCATTACTGTCAGACGTCAATTAATTCATGCAGCCAAACAACAAACCTGGTTCCTCATGTGGGGCAGGGTGGTCGTCGTCGAGCTTGACGTCGTCCAGATTTGAGGTATTGGAAAGTCGATGGGATACGGGAGAAGCTTTGCGCTTGATATCCACGTCCTCATGGTCGCTCACAAAGTCCTCGTCGACAAAGTGATCGTCTGGTGTTGGTGAAGGCGGAGCTGCTGGTGCTTCCACCCTGTCCTCTTCAGTGTGCTCCTCCTTTTTCGGGGATTCAGGGTCCGTTTCCTCGGCGGGTGGTGGTTTGGAGACGGAGGGCGTTCTCTGAGTAAGAGAACGCACCTCAGCTACCTCGGCGACATCGACAACGGCATCTTCGAAGGCATCCTGCTGCTTATTCGGTCATGTCAGCGAGTGGTTCTTCTCCTGTTTGCACTGCGGTTGCGGCATGTGGTCGAGCTTGGAAGGCCCAAGCAGGTATGTGTGCATCAAGGGAGGATGAGGGGAGCGTTACATTCTCCTTATCAGAGTCGGAGTCGGAGTCAGTCGAGAGTCTCTTCTCCTTGGTCTCTTTGGTCTCCTTGGTGACTTCAGGAGAAACGGTCGCAACAGGCTCGTCTGGCTGGGACATGGCGAAATGAAGAATCGTAGGTCAACTTGCGCTGACCTATGTGGGTGTGTGCGGTATGGTGATATAGCTTGCGTCCAGGTCGAGGTCGGACTGTTTAGAGGACCTAGTTGGTGTCCATGGAGATGGGGGAGACTGCAGCACTAGGCAAATCTGTAGACTGTGTCGTCTGTGCTGCTGAAGAACACCTTGTGATACGGGTGCTGCAGTCTGGGTCTCGTAAGGTATGATGCAGGGTTGGTTGCTGGGAACTGTTTTCGTCGTTGTGTGTGTGGTTGTTCGTCTCTGAGCTTGTCAGGACGGAAGACGGGAAATCGAGAAGGCGAGTAGGTCAAGGTCGAGGGTCGAGGATTGACAGTCGAGGATCGGTTGTGGCGCGCAAGTTGTGCCTCTCTCTCTCCCTTTTTTTTCTTTCCTATTTCCTGGCTGGGGGGGGGGGGCACCGGGCATGGGGGGATGGGATGGGGAATTGAATTGAATGAATGAAGCTGCCCGAGCCTCACCACAGATGGGGGGGGGGACCCCTTTCAGATGTATCTTTTCTCTGCTTCAATGTGACACAGTACTTAAGCTCATCCACCTACCTGAATGGGACCTGGAAGTAGACCCCCGAACGGTGGCTGAGAATACTCGAGTCCCGTCCGTATTCGCCCAAATAATCGACCCTCAGCACTCCTCGAGGTCCACCACAGACGAACGTTCAATTCTAGCGTACGGAGTCCAGTCAACTTTTGGGGGCCAGGGGGAGGCAAAAGGTGAGGGACCGGGCCAACCGCTGGTAGCTTAGCGCGCCGCTGCGGAACGGGATCGCTCTCTGTTTCGGGGGGGCTGCACGAGGGGGGCGTCTTGCAAAGTTGCGAGTCTGGATGCCGTGAGTTCCTGAGTTCCTCACCCGGAGCGCAGGACAGTGGACTTGCCAGCCCCAAATGCCATCAATGACAGGGGGCTGTCCTCTGGACATGCCAGCCAAAAGGAAATTGCTGGGATCGACACGGCAGGGAAGCTGATGTTTCTTAATGATTGCCCACCACCTCCCACACCTTTTCCAGCCTCTTCAACGCCTTTTGCTGCCTCTGTCACTCTCGCTAAGTCACTCTTATCAGGTGCGTGTCCAGAAAGACATGTCAATATGCGATAATAATATCAGATACGACGGCACTGTCCCAAAGCTTTCTATCTTGGGACGGGGAGTCTCCAATAGCATCTCGTTATCCGTTTTGGGAGCTTCAATCTCGTCAAAACGAGAGCTTGAATTGCCCTTTCTGAGTCATCCCGATCCTCGTCCGATCTTTGGAAGTTTGGGGCATCCTTTACCTCATCATCTCATGTGAGCAATAGCTAAGAATGATATGAACTTACTGTTCAGCCGTCGCTACACAGTATTGTTTGTTTATCTGCCATCTTGGCTTTTTGTTTTGCGGACGTGTGCGCGTCTTCCGAGACGACCTTGTCTTTAAAGAGTTTCGTTCAGTCCAACAGCCGCTGTCCCTGCAGCACAAGTTTCTTGGATGGCTTGGAAAGTTGGACTGGCTTGATGGTTGGCCATCCGAGGCAAAGCATTTGTGTGAGGTGGTTACTTATTCAGTACTTGCTCTTTACCACTGTTTGGCTGTGTACACTGAGTAGACTCTTGGTAGCGCCAGCCTTTCCCCGTTGGAACGTTATGATCTGCGCATCTCTCGCGCCGTTGCAATCGGGGGTAGATCTTTTCAACCCCTGGTGCCCTTCCCCCTTTTTCCAACTCTAAGAAGGCCGGCCGGCCGCCCGCAGACCCGGCGTTACGCCGCCTGTTTGTTGGTCGGGTTGCACCCGGGTTCGGGGGACAACGGCACCGAGGCCAGTTTCCTCACTCATCGTCGGGGCTCAGTAGTCACTATGCTTCTGATGCCTTCAGGTCGGGTTCGGTCAATTTGATCCGAATGTTAATATTGGCAGCTAGGTATTCATACGGGGTCTTCCTGGGTCTCAAATAGCTTGTCTGGCATGCCTGGCACGTTTGGATCCTATTTTTACCAACCTCGGACCAAGCACCGGTTGGTGTCTTGGTGCGGATGAACTGGAATGCAACCCAGGCCTTTTATATCGGCTGCCCCAAGTCTTCTGTGCAAGCTGAGCCACAAGCATAAATGTCGCAGGTCGCGGGACTCGTCGTAATGAGAACCTGATGAAAACAGATGGGCAGGACTCATCACATTTGCGACTTGACGTTTGATATTTTCGCAGTGCTCTACTTTCGATGTCGATTCAAACACTGTCCATTCATCCCTCACTTGCCTTAGAAAGACATCGCTTAATGTCACTTCTGATATATCGTGCTCGAGACGGGGAGATCGTTGTTCTGCCCGGAGGGTTCAATCTGAAGAGCCAGATAGATACTCTGGTTTACATTTTCTCAAGCTCTCTATTGAAAAATGAGATTTGAGGCCCAGCGTAAATCAACATCTGCTCGGTCAATTGAGGCTTTAAAGCCCCAATACCTTACATTGACACGTGCATTCTCGGCAGACCAGCCACGTGGAGGAGCGACAGCCTCTGGAAATCAGCATGCCATGTGTTGGCAGTGACTGAGTTGTTTGACGTGAGCCAGAAGTGCCTTCCGGCCATCACAGGTCTGTTATGAGAGGAGAGCAGTTGTTAGAGTTCTGCGTGAGAAATCTGTCGAGGAAGGCATTACTTCCCAAAAGGCGATGGAGAAATTTTCTTTCAATCTACCGCTGGCCAGACCCTCCGACTTTTGCGCATCATCAACACTGCACACGTTTATTGACATTGTGAAGTGGGAATAATAGTCTAGTAAGGCTCCATCCAGTCTTTAGAAGCCCCGTTGCTAAGGTATTAAGAGTCCACTTGTTTGGCGCTGAATGCTGTCATAAATCTCCAGTACGTAAAGTGCCATCATGTAAGGAGATGAAATTTTTCCTTTGCCAAATGTACATTCGCGAAGGAACCTTATACAACCTTCGTGTACCAGCATGAGTAAGATTGGTGATTGGGCAAAATGAAATGTACATTATCTTACGGATTGTAACTCATTCATGATCCGATTGTGTTGACTTTGTGGTAGGCATCATGACAGCATTACGATTATGTTGGCCTGCCTGCCTTGCCATGCCTTACCTTAGGTAATGGAAGGTAAAGGCAGAAACTGGTTCCAGAAGCGAGTGGAATATTAAGATTTATTAGGTACCTACGGAGTACTGTAGGGAAGGTCACATCTGCCCGGTCGCGTTGCGGCGCGGTACGTACCTTTGACAAAGGTGCTGTTGATGCCGCCTCCACACTACCGCCTGCGTCCCGCCAACAAAATCTAAGTTGAACCGTGCACTCTCCTCCCCGCTATCCTCCCGTCATAGGTAAGGTAGGAACGAAGATAGACAAACAACCGCGGTCACTGTGTCTACAGATAATTAGCACTGCTTATAATGTGGATGAACACGGGTAAAAGACAGTGCGAAGCCTGGGGAGGTGTCCAGCCCAGCAACTGCCCGCCTGCTCCTCCCACCTTTGGTTGTCTGACCGCTCGCAAGGCGGCAGACCACCACCCGTACATGACCTCCAACCAAACAGTGACTGAGCCGTGCCTTACGCCTAGCAAGCTGGCAAAGCTACCTCTACCTACCTTGCTATTACGCAAAGGGCCCACTGTAACCGCACCTACCTTTCCTTGCCGATTTGACATCTGCAACTTCTTTTTCCACCTCACTCTCCAACATCCCATCCCGCCTTCCGCCTTCCACCTTACCTTCAACACCAGGCACTCGTTGCGATCGACGGCTTGATCTCACCGCCTGCTACTCGCGAGGATTTTACGATCTTGAGTCTGAGCGACACGCACTTTTAACAGGACGACCCGAACAGACATTGCTTGGCAAAGCTATTGTCACGGAAGCCCGTGAGGACGACCTGCACCCGGCCTCGCACTTCTGTGCCTTTCTACCCCAAGCTTTCTCGTCATCGCCTGGTCGATTTCTTTTAACATTTTGACCACACACACCAGACCGTCGACCTCTTCCTCTACACGACTGTATAATACCGTAAAGGGATACCCTCTTTTGCGACGCGTCTGTTCCGTTCGCGCAAACGTCTACGAGATACCCGGCTGCGCTATCTAGACCTTCAAACTCCGACGCGGGCTAGCTAGCAAGGCTGCACATATGAACCTGCGGCCCTGCCGCGCTCGCCCACGATGGGGAAGATAACGAAGCAGATGCAGCCCAAGCATGCCGAGACTTTGGTAAACCATCTCTTTGCCTGCTCTTCTCTTCTCCTTCTTGTTGTACAAATCAGGCCAGTGTTACTAACCATTTTCCTAGTCTCCATGGCTCAAGGACTTTGTCACATCGGCATGCTCCACACCCTTGCCTCTCCTTCCAAACCACCTCCACAAGTTCCCGACAAGATGGCCTTACCCGAGAGGTGATTTGTACCACTGGATCCCTCTTCTCAACCGATTCGACGACATCTTGGACTGCTTCTGCACCACCTACAACCTGGAACAGGGCCCCCAGAACCGCGATTTCGGCCGCGATCTGCTCCTCAACCAAGGCGCTAAGACTGAACAATATGGCGACCAGACCTGGGACAATGATGGTCTTGTCAAGTTGGGCTACAATGCAGATGGAGATAGGCAGCTGATCGAGGCTGTCCTCAAGTTCACCCGTATACTCCTGCAGCACTGCGGCAACCGAAGCATCTACTCTAGTAGCATGGTCCTGAACAAGCTGCTCAACACTACAGTTCTGTCGCTTCTTCTTGCAACTCTGCAGGTCAGCGCCGAGTTGGCCCAGCGCTACCAAGCTTCTGTCAAGAGAATAGGAAGCGCCTCCCGCACAGTGAGCACTGCTCTGCTGAGCAATCACTACCAGATCGACCTCGACCGCGTGAACAGCGTCGCTCTGCCCTTCGCCAAGACTCCGATCGTCAGTCTTTCAGACTCGCTGGCTACTGCTACGCCCACGTCGAGTGCCAAGGGCAAGGAAAAGCCTCAGGCCCCGAGCCATAAAAACGCCGCAGCCATGTTTGCCAACGACTTGGGGTCTATTCTTACACCCGACAATGGGCGCTGGAATGGATGGGGAGATATCAAGATCACCTATACCGTGGCGTCGATCGCAAAGGACCACCCTGTCTCGACGGCTCATGATCGCATTGGTTCCAACATGCCCTCTACACCGACCCCTCTGAGGCGCAGCACGACAGCCGGCTCTCAGCACAACACTCCAAGATCCGCTCGTCAGGCCGGCGTTGACGAGGCTTCGCCATTAAGTACACGAAGCCCCATCGTCGCCAATGACCATGCCAAGTCGAGTCAGCGAATCTTCGATTTGCCGCAATCAGTCGTTGCCTCCACGCCCATCTACGAGCTCCTTGCACGATGTCCTGCGGATATGCCCGCCTCAGCCAAATATGAGATTCTCAACCGTCTGAGAGTAGCCAAGGCTCTTCTTGGGGGTGCGGAGTCTCGACAGGAAGCGCTTGCCGTCCGTCTACTCGCCATCACAAACCTGGCCTTCATCCATCCGGAGACGACCTTCGTCGAGAAGGTTCTGCGTCATGACAACGACGAAACACGACGCTATCAGTTGGCTTATCAACTGGCGGAACTAATTCACCCGCCGGCCGATGGTTCCATTCAAGTACCGCTGTGGCTTCAGTCAATTGTCTTGGGCCTCCTTGAGGTCATCTCAAACTATGCTGCAAGATACCAAGATGTTTTGTCGGCCCTGAATGCGAATGTCAACCACGGAATTCTCTTATACGTCATCCGAAAGGCTGTCGCAGGGATGAAGACCAGTGAACCCGACCGCGGTATTCATACCACGGAAGTCGACGAGTGGCGTACCAGTCTTTTCTCTTTGACGACTCACCTGGCCATGTCTACTAGAATAGGAGCTGAGATGGTGACGGCCGGACTGATGGATATTCTGGTGGAGATTCTTAAAATCAGGTCTGATGTCGCCCAGCGCAATCAGTCCATGATTCTGGCTTTCCTCGACGGACTGATTTGGACGTATCAGAATGCGTTCCAATCGTTCTTCAGCGGATCCGGTCTTGATGCCATCTCCGAACTCCTTGTCACAACGGTGGCCGAAGCAAAGCAACTTGTGCAAGCTGGACAGGGCAACACACCTGAACACTATTGCCAGGTTGTTGACTATGAGATCCCCTACAATCAACAGCAGACCCTGAAATGGGTTCTCAAGTTTGTCCATCACATGATGACGAACTCTTACACCTATGGCGGAAACACTGATCGACTTCTCCGTAACCTTGTTGACAAATCGGAGCTGTTGGCCAGCTTGCGAGACATCATGCAGAATACTAAGCGCTA